AGTGGTGTCATAGTTACTATTGGGTTGGAGATTAGACACAGGGGCTGTAGGCTGATTACTCCAGGAAGCTGTCATAAGCTGTTGGAGCTGCTGAGTCAGCTCTAGGACCTGTGCTTGAAGAATAGAAATGGGATCAGGGAATTCTTCTGCTTGTTCCATAATGGTGGATATGGAATAAGGCAGGTGTTGGGTGTGTGTGGTAAGAGTAAAGGCAGGTAAGAGTAGAGGTGGAGTGGTGAAGCAGAGGTTGTCACTTGGAGACTTGGTCTTCTGTTAGGGCAACACAGGCTGACTAAGTCTGCTCACCTAAGAGTGCCAAGAGTCTAAGCAGGCAACAAGGAAGTGGAGTAGACCTGATGACTAAGACCTATCTACAGTATAGGTATCTGTGGATGATCCTAAGAGACCAAGTCTGAAGAGACAGTCCCCAGGCAGAGTAGGCCTTATATTTATACCTCTGTGGTGGAACCTGCTAGAACATCTTGCTTACTCAGCCTAGTCAGGTGATCAGGTCATATGACCAAGGATGAGGTCATATGAGGTCATGCACAGCCATGCACAGCAGGTCACCTGACCATCCAATCCTTCCAGCAGGTTCCAGCACATGCCAAGGTATACCAGCTACTTCCATGTCATAAAGGCTTAGTCATGTCTCTTGACCAAGCAATGAGCTGGTGCCCTGACATGGGGACATTATCCAAGCTTGCTGCCACCAGCATACATGGCAGTGCACTCTGGCCCAACAGCCATCCCATGCCAGCCATCTTTTGGACAGATGAATGCTCCTAGCGCCATGGGGTACAATCCAGGGCATGCACTACATGGCACTAGAAGTGTTTCTAATACTCGCCGGGCATTTGCAGCAGAGGCACCTACCTTTGAGATCACTGTATTCTTACAGCTCAACATGTCCCCTGAGAAGAAGCATAAGGTAAGTTTTGTTGACATGCATGCAGATGACTGGCTGACATAAAACAGATAGGTCAGGAAGGGGTAGCAGGGCTCCAGGCACATATCTTGTTGCCTGAACTGAAAGCCATGGTGTACAAGAAGTTCAAAGCCTGGCTGGGTGTTAAACTTTGCACTCTTCATATTTCCCTGGATATGTTTATGATGCAAACCAACAAATGGACCAATCTTGATGAGCATTGTGCTAATGGCAACCACCCTTCCTGGACAGGGTTCAGCAGGCAGCTGGTAAAGGCTTTAAGGTGCCCAAAGGCCCCTACTACTTTTGTATTCCAATGGACCTGATGGAGCAGAATGGGAACAATGAGCACCATGGGGTGTATGAGAGCAGGTCCCATCAAGCTCTGACAAGCATGAATGACCCACTCGCATGGAACAATGAGATAAAGCCCCTTATGATGGTGGACCTTACACTCAAGGAGGAAGACCTCCCTGATGATCTGCTTGATCCAAACTGGGGCAATGGACAGCTTACCCCAGTTTCCAACAGGGGGAGCAAACATGCTTGACCGGTGTGTTATTTATTATCCACACAGCCTGTGTGTAGTATTCTGATGTGAGATCTGCAGCCCTCCAGTCCAGATACACCAATCAGCACATGGAGACCTTCCAAATGTCCAGCAATGGCCTTGCCAGCTCACCAAGCCATCTTGGCATTGTTGAATGCTCAAACAGAGACCAAGTATAATGATGAAAGTGAATTTCCCCCAGAGAAACCCTCAGGATGTCAACTGACATGGGAACCTACAGGTACCATTCCTTTGGATGCAATAGTTTGGATGTGTCCAGTCAAGAAGTACACTTGGACAGAACTTTGCGCAGATTTCATGAGACATGATTTTGATGAATGGGAAACCATTTGCTCCCTGACCGGTGATTGGAAGTCAATTGGAGAAGGCAATTTCAAGACTGTGCATCTCGTGTGGCTTGAGCAGGTGGCAGGGCCAACTGATTCCAACATGTCTCCTTCTTTGCTCAACACCAAAGTTGTCATCAAGAAACTCAACATAAGCATTAAGAGCAACTCCAAACGCATAAAATGGCCACTCTAAGATGAGTACAAAAAGGCAAAGCTGGATGTGGTTTGCTTGGTCTATGCAAGTGCTATGCTTGAACAAGCATACACATGGATTCTCAAAGAATCACATCATGCACAACTCCCCTTCCACCTCCCAAGGTTCCGGTTTGTTGATCAGGCTCTGGTTCTGCTTGAGGAGGGGTGCCATCCAGGGTGTGTTTGCCTTGTGGAGGAGAGGATCCTGGGGGAATTCATGAAGTATATTTTGAATGCCAACACTGAGCCCAATGGAGAGTTGTTGGGAGTCAACACCAAGAACACTCACTTTTTGACATTCCTGCAGCATGTTATGTTTGAGATGGTGAGCAATGGAACTGTTGTACTTGGAGACTTCCAAGGTGAGTGAGGGACTGTCATTCCAGGTGCTGCATATCATTGCCATAACCGGGTCTGGCATGCTTCTCACCAATCCCATCTTATGTACCCCCACTGTATGTGTGAGCAGGTCAATGCATGACATTAACTAACTTACCATAGTACTGCACCCAGCCAAGAATGGCCATTTGGTGCAGGCAACTACCCAGGAGGATTTGAGGAGTGGGTGAAAGACCACAAATGTGACATCAAATGCATTTTTTTCCAACTGAATTTGAAGATGGCACTCAGGGAGACTGGAGGGGTGGGCCACAAGGCTGCAATTGTGCATTCCGCAGAGGTAGAACAAGCAGAAACCTAGTGCTGCATCAAAGAATTCCTGTTGTTTCAAATGCAAATGTGTATGACATATGCCAATTCAATTGTGTTTTAATATGGTGCCAGGGAGTTCTTGGCAGTGGCCACCCCAGATTTCTTCTTCTTTATCTCCATCTCTTTTCTCGTCTTCCAACAACATTTATTTCTAAGGGCCAGGTCATCTTAATCATGACCTACATTGTGCATTGAAATAAGAGCAGGAAAATAGGTTGAGTTCCTGGGTTCACATGATCAATGTTGGGTACATGGGGGCCAAAAAAAGCGGTCCGGAAGGTCAGATAATTTCCATATTGAGAACAATTCCCAATGCAAGGCCAGTGACGGGGTCCTACTTTGCATGCTGTGCAAAAGACCCTTAGTTTGGCTCCGGCCGACCGGCACGGATGCTAAAAAGAAAATTCCGCACTTAAGCGAACTAGGCCCTTCCGGCTTTCCATACCTCAAGGGGCACAGTCACTCACTTCGAGTCCATTCTCTCCCACGCTTGAAGAAATTGCTTGACTATCCTGCATTGTTCTGCTTGATATGCAAGAGACCTTACTAGGCGGATTCGCATAGTCAGAAGAAGAGCAAACTTGCCTGTTCAGCATCTGCTGACAACATGTCGCGTCATCCTATTCTTGCCTCATCCTGAACCCGGTGTTGGAGCATCTAGATTCCTGTCTAGCTTTCCTCTGAATGGTAACAGTTGACATCCAACTCTTTGTACTTGAACTGGATCTCAGGGACTGGATGAAACTCGCGGCCTCGGACTCCACCTCTGTCCTGTGTTGGGCGCAGTAACAAATCAACCGACCAGTCATCTTCTCCAACATTAGGCTTCACTTGGAGGCTATGTTTAGCGACTTATCCCTCCTTTCCTTCTGAAATGAGTCCTGCATCATGGTACCCTTCTCACCATGTCGAATCGGTCCGTCTCTTCGTCCGCGTATCTAACATAGGGCCGTTGACCGATATACAGATCAGGCCGGTCACTTCTGTTGCCCACACGTCTTCATCTAGCAAAGAGACAAAATAGGTGTGCTCGTTGGTTTCTCTTGGGGACTAAGGGAGGGCTGCGTTCGGTGCGTTCGGTGCTTAACCGATGCTTCCTTCCGGAACCGTTGTTGAGGGCCAAAACACCTTTGACAGAACTGCCCTCCTTGTATCCGATTCTACCGATCAAGTCATAACTTCGATCATCCCTTATCACCACATCTGGAATGGACGTTTGAACGAGATACACGCATGGCTTCACGCGACGTTGACTAGTCAACTTGGATGACTGGATGTCCTCAATCCGCATGTTGCCGATGGAGATATGGCGTTGAAACAGCATGCCTTGTTGGGTCAAGGCACAGAGCCCTTCCGACATGTGATCAACGACCTTCTCGGGTTTCACCGAAAGCCGTTGCCACTCGAAATGGCCGTCCCAGGTCGGCATATAAGGTGTACCTCAACCCTCCCTTTATCTTCACTAGACTATCAAGTCAGTCAGTAACCGATCTTAACCAAGACTCAACCTCTTCACACCGTACCCGAGCCAGACGATAAGATACAGCGCTTCCTCGTCACTCTTCTCGCTCTCGCTAGCCTTGGCGTCCAGGCCATTCCCGTTACCGAATCGCATGCTTACAAGCGCGAGGTCGTCGGCCATTCTTATACACTTGACAACGTCGAGGATAGCGGTACCTACAAGCGCGAGGTCGGCCACTCCTACACACTTGACAACGACGAGGACAGCGGTGCTTACAAGCGCGAGGTCATTGGCCACTCCTACACGCTCGACCACGATGAGGATAGCGGTACCTACAAGCGCGAGGTTGGCCATTCCTACACGCTCGACAACGACGAGGACAGCGGTGCTTACAAGCGCGAGGTTGGCCATTCCTACACACTCGACAACGACGAGGACAGCGGTGCTTACAAGCGCGAGGTCATCGGCCACTCCTATACGCTCGACCACGACGAGGACAGCGGTACCTACAAGCACGGCTTGCCTGTGCCACCGGCCCATTTGTACCCGGCCGATGCGGATGAGCCTTTCAAGCGCACCACTGACGCGTAGGGCCATTCTTACACGCTTGACGAGGACGAATCCACCTAGGAGCGGATACTCCACATGTAGCATGGGACTCCTTTCTCAAACCATGTGGAGAGCTCTTTGATATCAGCTGTTCTCCCTCAATAGTCATCCATGTCAGCACTTCAACGTTAATCAAATGACCATCACCCAGTTTTACCACAAATATGAAGCGTATCTTGCACGCCATGTCTTGCCAGAAATGGACTGGAAGATGATTAACCTTACGCGGCCCGCCTCGTGTCCCTTTCACCAGTGCGTTCTGCGCCGTGCGAGAGCATCCGCCCTGACAATGCATATATCCAAATACGTCCGTCTTTTCACAAATTACTGTGAGAGGACTTCATATCGTTGTCAAGTTTATCAGAACACATGATGAAAGTAATGAAGAAGACCATCTTCCTCGAAACTGTGTTACTAAGGATCAGTGGTGAGCCTGAAAAGGTTCCACGTCCTCCCAACACTATACAGAGCGCATGCATGCGTTTCCCACATGACGGTTCGTAGGGATTGAACAAACGATAATGCTGAATTGACCATTAGTGACAGGTGGATTCAACATTGTGCACGAGGCACATGGGAAAAGGAAGCAAAATGCCAATCACCGGCGACATGAAGCGCCGGCGGTCCGATTACAAGCAGTGGCACGCTCTCTGCTCACCTCCAGCATCGGTCTATCTACATGGGTATGCATGGGAAATCATTGGGGGTCCGGACGACATGTTTTCCTCATCTTCGGAGCAACCTCGACCGTCAAGAATAGGGAACTGAACAATCTCCGGTTCATTTTCTGTCATCACCTGATACATGGTTGTTATGGGGTTGTTAGTGGTCAACGCTGGCAATACTCCTTTCTCTATGACCGGATCTCGTCGCTTCTCCTGCTCTGGCCCTGGCGGCTTTGTTATGCCGGTACGTCTTGCGGCCCCGACCTGCTGGTATGACGCCGTATATGAGTCTTGCACTTACAACAAAGTTCTATCTGTGCATTACCATATTTCCTTATTCTCATCCAACGCAGTGCTCCACAACGTCTTGCGGTGAAACGCCAAACGCCGATGTTCTTGGGCATAGCAGAGCTTGAAGTTTCTGCACTCCCAGATGCTGTACCTCCCCTCCCAGGACGTTATATACCGTCTTGTCAGTACTAAGCATGGAGTATCAGCCCTCCGCGGACAAGACCAAGTAGCCTTCATTCACCCTGCGCCCTTTCTCCAGCTATGTTCCTGTCACCTTCTGTTTTCTCCTATGTTGCGGACGGCATTCATGTTGAAAAACTCCTGAACTGGGTCAAGGCCAGCATTCTAATACTATACCTTTTTACAAAGGCGGACTATCACACACTGTTCTTTCCCATCGTGAGTAGAGTTTATTATGATTCGCCGGCCTGCTTCTGACGGGGTAATCTTTATTAAGGCGATGTTTGCTCTCGTCGCAGGTCCGATTCAGCAGCCCATCCATATCTTGACCACCGCGGTCTGGATATGGATACACCAACTTCAATGTAATATCAACAACCAGCTTGTCTCTATCAGCGAAGACAAAGATAACAAGCCATGGCGCCCGCTTCCAGCTGGTCGCATCACCTCACCTCAAGCACAGCAGCTTCACGGTGTCGTCACGATTCTGTGCCTACTTCTCAGTACTATCGGCGGATACAAGATGGTTGTTGCCAGCGCGGCATTGATGTTCACCTGCCTCTTGTATGATCAAGGTCGTGGATCCGCGCACTGGATGGAGAGAATCCCCCTGGTTGTGCTGATGTATGGTATCTTCGAGTACGGCTCGACGCGGGTTATTAGTAAGCCACTCTATCCTTCAGTATTGTAAGTAGCTATACTGACGACGTATTAGCCGGGTACGCCGAGCTGGACGAGACGGCCCGCACCGCAATCATTAGCTCTCTTGCAGTTATCGCTACAACGGCACACATCGGCGACTTCCCCGATGTCGAGGGCGATGCCGCCGATGGTCGTTCGACGATTCCCATTGCCTTTCCTCGAAGCTCCCGGATCTTCACCCCACTGCTCTTCTTGGGCTGGTCTGTGTACATGGTGAATATGTGGGACCTGGGTAAAATTTCAGCCTCCCTGTGTGTGGGCTTAGGCAGTCTGGTTGCTGGGAGGAACTGGTTTTACTGTGATAAGGTGAACGACAAGATGACCTACAAGTTGCACAGTGTAAGCGGTCTTCTGCATTCAAGTTTTGGGCATGTGTTGATCAATTATAGCTATGGCTCCTTACTCTCCACCTCTTGCCCATGAACGCTCGGTGGGGTTTACTGAAGTACTAGGCATCGCACAGTCCGAACCCGTATTATGACATAGTACCTGCCATGGACCTAGCACTTTGTTGGACCATTGGGGGAAACATTAGAGTTGGCTGTATTTATTCTGTCCTCCTGTAGATACATGTGCTTAGCGAAGATTCACGATCAATCGACGAATATGATCTTGTCCACCCGAAAGCGTTGTATACCGCTTCACTATGGAAAAGACTTATGGCATATGTATCGCATTTGTTCTCGGTCCATCGATGTCTTGGGGTGAATTGTGGTTGATTGGATATCAAGTCCTACATTCTCTCAGTTGTCTTCGATCCGTGGGACCGTTTGGAACTCGTTTGCGGTGAAATCGATGGGATCAGCTTAATGGTCATGATCTGTATGCCGTCACTGACAACGTTACCGGTGCGACACTTGAACTGGCAATCACTAGGCCGTCCCTGATTGATAAAATGGATGGAATGAGAGCCAATTTAATGGAAGCTCAAATACAATTCCGTCACGCAGCCCCTGATAATCACGATCATACACAGAGGAACCGATCTTGCCGATCCACTGCGATCAGTTAACTAGGCGTAATGGGAACTTTCCCTTAGACGTGATTGATGCTATCCCAACAGCAAGACATGCAATCTGCGGAGCGCTGCAGAATGGAAAATGGTAAACCCGCAGCACCATTCAGCCTGAAAACGGTTCGTGTGCTCTCATCACAAAAGCTGAAGTGCAGGCCCGCTCTTGTGTTAGCGACATGGAGAGCAGGGAATGCGACGGGAATTGTTAATCTGAAGAAAATCTAGTTCTGTTGGTCAACGGTCGTTGATGCACGAGTGAAAAAGGGAAGCAAAAAGTTCTACGTCGCGCTGTATACGTACGGTGTTGGACTGACGATCAACAGTACAGCAATAGGCATCCGGCACCACCTCTCCCATGCATCTTCATGGGAGAATGGTGCGTGTATTCCCAACGTTGGTATTGACTAGCCGACCGCTCACCATGTACAATTAAAATTCTGACCGGAATTGGGCAGGTCTCTTTCGCTTCGTGACGGCGTCAACCGTTAAGCATTCGGAACTAAACAATCGCCGGTCCATGTTCTCTCATCGTCTGCTACATGGTTGCCATGGAGTTGATGAAGATACATTTATGAACAATGCTATCCAGTTCTCCATGCCAGGATCTCGTGACTTCTCCCGCTCTGGCGCCGGCTACGGCTTTGTTATGGCGGTACCTCCTGCGGTCCCGATCTTTTACCTCGACACTGTTTATGTATCTGGCACTTACGACAAAATTCAATGCTTGCGTTACTGTGTCTCCGCATTATTCCTCAGCGCATTGCTCTGCAACGTCTTGCGGCTAGACACCCCATCCCGATCTTCCTGCGCGTAGAGCTTGCAGCTTTCGTTATATATTCTCAGGATTGAGCATGGATCATCAAACTCACTTCGGACAAGGTTAAGTACTGTACTCTTACTCTGTAGCCTCCCTCCAAATATGTTCCTGTCACCCTCCGTTTTCTCCTATCTTGGCGACAGTATCCGAATCGGAAAACAAGTGAACTGGCTCATGGCCAGCATTCGAACGTTGTATCTGTTCACAAAAGCGGACTATCACACACTCTTCTTCCCTATCGTGAGCATAGTTTCCTCCTCCTGGTTTAATATTGTTGAAATCATCATTTCAGACAATGTTTGCCCTTGTGGCGGGTCCGATTCAGCAGCCCATCCATATCTTGACCACTGCGGTCTGGATATGGATGCATCAGCTTCAGTGTAACATCAACAACCAGCTTGTATCTATCAGCGAAGACAAAGATAACAAGCCATGGCGCCCTCTTCCAGCCGGCCGAATCACTGCTTCTCAAGCACAGCAGCTACACATTGTTGTGGCGAGCCTCTCCTTCCTCCTCAGTGCGGTCGGTGGATACAAGATGGTTATTGCCAGCATTGCCATGAACGTTTTTGATGTCCTGTATGATCAAGGTCGGGGATCCGCTCGCTGGATGTCGCGGATTCCCTTGGTCGTGGTGATGTACGGGCTGTTCGAGTATGGCTCGACGCGCGTTATCAGTAAGTGCGGTTGCCTTAAAACATTGGTTTCTTTATTGACAGTAAGTCAGCCGGATTTTCAGAACTAGACGACACAGCCCGTGCAGCAATCATGAGCTCTCTTGCGGTAATCGGTACTACTGCTCACATAGGCGACTTCCAGGATGTCGAAGGCGACGCAGCAGACGGGCGTTCAACGGTCCCCATTGCTTTCCCTCGCAGTTCAAGGATCTTTACCCCGCTGCTGGTCCTAGGATGGTCTTTATTTATGGCGAACGTATGGGGACTAGGAGTATGTTCAGCCTGCGCATTTGTTGGCCTGGGGGCGTTGGTCGCGGGGAGGAACTGGTTTTACTGCGATAAGGCGCACGACAAGAACACCTACAAGCTGTATAGTGTGAGTTGTCTTCTCCAGTCCCCTCAACAAAGTGGACTCATTTCGTGCAGTTGTGGCTCCTTACTCTCCACCTACTTCCGATGAACGCGCGGTGGGGAGTGCTGAAGTATTAGAGGCATATGTGGGCATTTTTAAGACACGACATCCAATCATAGACGTGGCATTCATAGACCACTGACGGGAGGCACGGATTAGAGTCGGCTATGTTCAGAATGCTACTGTCGATACATAATTGGGGAGCGCTATCGATACACGGTGGATCAATATAATCTATCAAGCTACTGCCTGCTTCCAACTCGCAGGACCCTCACCATGCCTCCCATTTGTGTTTCACCATCGCCAACAGCCGATTGAACAGCTCATCACGTCTCTTCATCGCCGTAAACGTCCACACTTTCCCTTTCGTATCGGTAAGCTCGAGGGCGTCATACACCTCCCTCTCGTACGCCCAACCCACAACGAGCTTGCCCTTCCATCCCAGACCACCAACCTTCCGCAGCTCCTGTATGTCCGAAAGGAGGACGGAAAACTCCGCCTCCCACTCCCCGGTAGCCTTGCTGCGCTTGTTGCCAGCAGGAATCCAGCTAATACACGGAGTAGTGGCCGTGGTGGAGATGATCACATGCCCCGGCCGTCCATGAACACGAGCCTCAAACACACTCGGCCCGTCGACCAAATCTTGGGCATCACTAGGCGGGATAATGCCCAGCCGCTGCTTGGCGTGCTCGCTCCCCAAGTTGGCTTTGATCCTGTCCGCAACCAAAATGCCGCTTACGCCAGCCTTGGTAGTCCCTTTGAGCAGCCCACCAAGCTTGGTGATCAGCTTATGCTTCTTAGGAGTCTTGTGCCCCGCACCCTGGGGAACGTCCACGTTTTCATCGGATGGTGTCTCTTCGATTTCGGCATTCTGCAAGTCTGACGGCAGCTCCTCATGCTTGACCAGAGGCTCCTCCGGCTCCTCAGGTGGCTCCCTCGTCACTGGTGGCGGGGGCAAAGGCTGCTTGTTTGCCTCTCCGATCCTGAGCAGTGTCAACGTCAGCTGCGCGTTCGTCGGCACTCCCTGTAAGAGCGAGTTGCGCAAATCGAGCATCCGTTGCCAGCCCGGGTGGCGCTCGTTGAGGTAAGCAAGACCGTGGTCGAACAAGGGTTGGCCGAAGAAAGCGATCCCGACCCCAGCACCGACGGCACGGTTCAGCAATTCGTTATTCGTGAGGGCGGTGAGCACCATCAGAGGAACGACAGCGCCCGCGAGTTTCCATCTCGCCAAATGGTTAAACGGTGGCACAGGACTGAGTGCATTTGCGAACATCTCCCACGTGTCCGCCAACGCGGTCAAAGCGCGCATTGTCGGTCTCGCCTTGGCCCAGACGGCAGCTTCCATCGGCTGCTTGGTCTTATCTTTCTCCTGCCTTCCGTCGATCCCCGACCCGCCGGCAGTCTGCTTCGCCTCCAGTGCGGTAGTGCCTAAGTCCGACGGATCAGGAAGGGACTTGTCGATTGCCTGTTCCCCTGGCTCGGTATGGACGTCGGCATCCCCGTCCGGATGCTTTCCCAACGCGGTTCCGACAGCAAGGCTTGCAAATCCGTTAACGAAGTTGGTCGCCTCTTGTTCTGCGGCTTCGCCAGCATGATTCTCGGGTGCGCCGGTGAGGGTGTCCGCTGTTCCGAGCGTGCCTGCCCGTGGGGTTTGGAGGTTGCCGGTTTTGCTGCTGATGAGAGCGAGCGGTGCGGGAGGGAAAAGTGCGGCTCGAGAGGGAGGGAACAATATGAGTACGAGCAGGAGCGTGAAGAACGACGGCAAGACAAGGTTGGTCCCCCATGCTGCGATATATGCTGCGAGCCACAACCCCGTGCGGCGGGGCTCGCTCCAGCTACGGAGACGCATGATGTGCTTGATGAACGCCATGATACTGATGATCACGGATACGTACAGCCGCTCGAGGTTAGCTCGCAGTTTATCGGGGGAGAACTCTTCTTCTTCCGCTACTTGGAGGTCAAGAGGTCCGACGATCTTCGATTCAGGAACGGCTTTGACATGGTACATTTGCTATTTATTTGTCAGCACCGTTGAAAGATCTTTAACTGGGGCAAAGCACACCTTATCAAACCGCCTCACGAGCATCCAGAGGGTGTCATTCGTCACTCCCCCCACAACGGGCTGGGGGACTTCCTCAGGCCTCTCGTTCCATCCAACGTCCTTGATCCCCGGATCCCTGGCGCTTTTCTCACTGACTTGAGTAATCGCAACCTGGTCCGTATGGGGGAGACCATCCAAGTGGTCGGGCATACGGGCAGGAGCTTCGGAGGGAGGAATATGTTGTTCTTCGCGGTTGTCGCGGTACCGAGGATCGTCCAGAACACGACCGGTGTCGTCTTTGAATTCAGGTGCTATGATTGTAGTTAACGCATCCTTTGGAGGTAGAGCAGGCGCGGAGGCTTGAAGTGCTCCTTTCGTTTTTGTGCCGGTTAGGTCGCGCAGGTCAGAGGACGGAGGGGTTGTGATCTGCACTAAAAGATCAGGTGCAGCACCTGCAGTAGTTCTCGCGCGGTTCCTCGGAGATTCAGCAAAAGTATCCTCGTCGATATTCGCGGTCGCAGGGATAACAGTATCAGCCGCCTGCGCGCGATGGGGAGCGGAGAAGGGCTCCAGACGGCTATAGTGCGTCCCAGGGTTTGTTACAGGATCTGCAATAGACGGATCAAGGAGCTTTGGAGAGTTATCACGGGGGGCGTCGCTGGTATCCGGAGGTGTAGGAGGTCCGGAGGTGCTTTTATCGCTTGGAGGATGGCTGTCAGAGCCTGGCGGGTTGACAGTAACTGATTGGGGGGTGGTCATCTTGAACTTTCTCTAGTTGATCAAGGTGGCCGTCCAGAAAGTATAAGGAAAGGATGGTGGTGGTAATGAAAAGAGAGGATTGACGAAGATGCTCCATATATATACTCCATGGTTGTGTGCAAGCAAGTAGAGTTTTGCGGTGACGATTGAGGACAGAACAGGTGACGCAGGTGGCGTTTCATACATTACAGTCACGTGATTGTGGCTCTTCTCTGTTCACACGCCACCAAACCATCTCTCCTAGTACTCAATCTGTGCCACGGCTCCCCCCCTTGTCCAGGCCTCCCATTGGGCCAAACGGAGAAATCACGGCTCCGACCGACGCACAGCCACTGCACAGCCACATTACGCTGGCGTCCTTAAAGCTAAAAAATAATAATTTCTTGCATTGTGATTTAGTTGAAATATGTCAATACTATGTTAATGTGAGAGTAGATTTTAATCCCAACTTGTTCGAGGTGAAATGATCTTCAAATGATTATTATTTTCAATGTTAGGGTTCTCAAGTTGGACTTCGCCGTTTTCGGGAGCGGCGGACCCTAAGTGCGGACAAGGGGGGGAGAGGTGGGGCAGTTCAGTACTCACAACCGCTCCTTCGCCGAATAGTCCTCTTCCCACCCACTCAGATCAAATACTCATCTCTATCAATAACATGTCCGGAGGAGATAAGTTTGGGCGATGGGGAAGAAGGGTTCACTTTTGCACGGGGACGCGTTGTGCGATGAGAGGGTTTTCAAGAGAGGAAGAGGAAGAGGGGTCAGGAAGGTTGGAAAGCAGTCTTCCTCTGGCGAGTCCAAAGAGTGCAAGGATGGAGAATCTGGGATCCGTCTACTGTATGACGTGCACTGGTGAAGTAGACATCGAGGCTGGAGGGTATGAACACCGTATGCCATTCACCACTTCCGTTCATCGATTACTGATAGCCTATTCCAAGGACGTAATTGATCAAAAGAACGTATTCAACCTGGTGCTCCTTTGTCTTGAATGTCCTGCGTAGAAGCTGTCTCACTTGCGGAACTGGGATGCGCGCGCTTTGGGCGGTGAACCCCCGAGGTGTGTACTGGATTAGGCCATGTGATCCTTCATGGAGTCGAATACCGTCCATATACTGCTGGAAGAGGCGCAGACGGACGATCGACGTGGATGGAAGACAAAACTGCTTATTATCTCGCTTTGTCGCACCTGTGCTTCGCGGAGCATGAGGGTGCGGAGGAAGAAGAGGATCGTATCAGGCGAGCAGCGATGTTCTCTATCACACACTACTTATCAGTTATTACCGGTGATTTCGGAGCAGATGAATGCAATTCAGCTTGCGATGACCATGTGATCCGCTATGGCTCCATTATTTACGCAAGAAAATGCGGCAACAGGGATGTGGCATAAGGGCTCGTGTTGTACCATGGGATGTCTCATAAGCCAGCAACGGGAGAAACGACCTCATTCTCGCCGAGAACATTTGACTTTGCGTGTCGATGTGTCCTTGCTTCATAAGGCCTTGAAGACAATGCGTGGATGAAGGGGCCAGAATAAGAGCCGTCAACGGTCAGGATTGTCGTTGTCTTGTCTTTGAGGCCGGAGTTTTATCTCGGCTCCGAGACTTTTTTGTCGAATCCGTCCCAATTGGGCAACAAATAACGGTATTCTAAATTGCATTTTCTCATTAATAGAAGTTGGAGCTCATAACAGAAAAAACCATTTCCATTTTAACAGATGACATTTAAATGTGAATTGAGCGAAATAAAATTAATAGTCGCTGGGACAATACTTTTATCTCGTTTCGGAGCCACAGAGGGGATCGAACGACCGACCCCAACGTCTATATGTTTGGGTTCACGATATAGTAACCCCAGTGACCATAACCACTGCACCATGCTACCTGGCGGCGAGGGAGAGCCCTGTTCTGAACTTTTGACAACCTACACGGCTCTTGCCTCCGCCCTTATGAATTTCTTTTGCTTCGTATATTCACCACATTCCACACAACTTGGCGGTCTAGATGCTTTGAACAACTCGCGTTAATATGAAGTTTCACATACAGACTGAAGTATTCACACTCTGGCTTTTGGCCTTTGACGGTTCCGTATACAGCAAGTTCGATTTGACTTGATGGTCTGCAACTCCACCGGCATATTGTATTCCAACACTGGAATGGTTCATTCGTATGACATCCATACTGGTAAACAGACCGCGCTATATATGGATAGATAAACCATGCCACTGAAAGCGCGAACGACACCTCGCTTCAAGTCCAACAACCTCGCATTCTCCAGCCTACATATGTATCATGTTTCGGATGAACGCTATCAGACAATGCCCATTCCTGCTCTACGCGTTGCTCTACGCGTGCACTTTCGCTGCACCAAGCATGGTCAGAGAGGCTACTAATTTTAGTTCTGCCGCACAACATACAGAATTGTCCCCAAAGGTCTGTCCTCATGTTCGACAAGCATGGCGCATGCTCTGTCCGGACTGCCAGCATTTGATCCGCGTCTGAAAGCGAGTACACGAGTTTGAGGAGGACTTTGAGTGCATGGTAAAAGGAGCAAGAACGATGTCACCAGCTGTCTAGCCGGTGGGGGACGGCGAGTGCCGCATGATGGTTCGACTGTGTGGCATGTTGGCGAAGGGAGAAGCGAGGTCTGGGTATTGTACTGCAGCAGGTCAGTGAGGCTGATCGGGTGTATCGGAGAGGACTCTCACATTTACCTCTCTTCGACCTCTCCTTAGCACCCTTGCCATCCAGAGCTTCTCTCCAACCTCAATCTTTCATTATTTAAGTTCCTTCATCTCCGGGGCTAGCCAGGCACAGCGGTTGATGATAACGGGGGTGAGCAGGGCAATCTAACGCAATGTTGTGTGGGCCGGAGCTTGGGGGACTTGACGGATTCGAAAACAGAGGAAAAGGAGGAAGAGTCGGATCGCAAGAAATGGAGTCTTTCTTCAGTTGCTTGTTCTTGTTCTTGGTTTTTTGTATAGGGATGCCACAGGCATGTACGAGCGGGGAGTTGGAATGCAGTGGCATACTGTTGGAGACGATCCAGTGCTGCAGGTCGAATTCTCAGCCGTTTTCCAAGCAAATTTCAGTCTTGAGTAGTTAGAGTTTGTAGGAAGAGGTGTTAATAAGCAGTTCACAACAGCTAGACGGCCAAGTTGTGTGGAATGTGGTGAAGGTATGAGGCAAAAGGTAAATTTATAAGGTGGAGGCAAGAGCCCTGTAGGTTGTCAAAAGTTCAGAATAGGGTTCTCCCTCGCCGCCAGGTAGCATGGTGCAGTGGTAAAGGTCACTGGGGTTACTATATCGTGAACCCACATAGACGTTGGGGTCGCTCGTTCGATCCCCTCTGTGGCTCCGAAACGAGGTAAAAGTATTGTCCCCGCGACTATTAATTTCTTTTGCTCAATTCACATGCAAACGTCATCTGTCAAAATAGAAATGGCTTTTATTTTTATTAGCTCCAACTTCTGTTAATGAGAAAATGCGATCTAGAATACTGTTATTATTTATTGCCCAATTGGGATGGATTCGACAAAAATGTCTCGGAGCCGAGGAGGTAAAACTCCGATCTCAAAGACGAGACAAGGGGGACAAATACTAATCTTTGACGTCTCTTATTCCTGCACTTTCAGAAATCTCTATGTTCGAGTCGGGGAACCTAAGACCGGTTAGATTCAAAAGCCTTCAAAGAGGATGAGGCGAGCTCCTCTCGGTTTATGCGACATCTGTCTCGCACTGCACGAGTCATCCAACCGCATCATCATTGCACTCTCAATCGCCGGATCCACAACAATATCATCTGTTAAAATAGAAATGGTTTGTATTTTTATTGGCTCTAACTTCTATTATTGAGAAAATGAAATCTATAATACAATTATTATTTATTGCCTACTTGGCATGGATTCGACAAAAATGTCTCGGAGCCGAGATTGTAAAACTCCGATCTCAAAGACGAGACAACGGCAACGCTAACCCTTGATGTCTCTTCGACCGCCACTTTCAGAACTCTCTATGTTCCAGTCAGCCTAAG